ATAATTTTACTTTATTTTCATAGAGGCTCACAGTTGAGTTTGCTTGTGTCTCAGAGGAGACTTGGAATTTCAAACAATGTTGGAAGACTTAAAATTTTAAGGACACTTGTAGATGGTATGAATGCATTTTACATTGTGAGATGGACATGAGCTTTGGGGGGCTAGAGGTCGAATGCTGAATGGTGGATACTGAATGGCCACACAAAGATCCTTATGTTTCATACCTCATCCCCTGGGTGGCACTAGGGGAGATTGTGGGATCTTAAGGAGACAGACCCTTATGGTAGGTACTTAAGTCACTGGGGAGCATGCCCCTGAAGGGGATTTTGGGACCCCTGTCTCTTCCTGGTCTTCTTTCTTCCTCCTAAGCTCATGACATGAGCAGTATTGTTCTGCCACATGTTCCCCCACACCATGATGTGCTGTCCCCCATAGGCCCAAATCATGAGGCCTCTCAATCTTAAACTGGATGCTCGAAAGTCTTGAGCCAAAGCGAGGCCTTTCTCTTTGTAAGTTGATTGCCTCCAGGATTTTGTTGTAATAAGGGAAAGCTGATTAATACAGGCAACCCAATATCATACTGTGTCCTCTTTCTTATTTTATTCCTTTCCTTATTGTTAAATTGTTTTCTTTTTTTTTTTTTTTGAGAAAGAGAGAGAGAGAATTTTAATATTTATTTTTTTAGTTTTCGGCAGACACAACATCTTGTTTGTATGTGGTGCTGAGGATGGAACCCGGGTCGCACGCATGCCAGGTGAGCGCGCTACTGCTTGAGCCACATCCCCAGCCCTAAATTGTTTTCTTCAAAGGGCCATGTAGACACCCATCACTGTCATCAATTTGTTCGAAGACAAGAAAAGTGAGTGAGGCTCTCTGTTGATTTGTCTTATTTGAAATTCATGCTGTAATTAAGCTATCATGTGGGCTCAAAAGTCAATGCCATCCCATTGAGATTGATAAAGTTGGGTAAGGACATTACAGTGGTTCATTGCTCAATAGTTGTGCTAATACTCAAACTAGTGCTGCATTCAACGAAGATGTTGGGTGTGCCAGCAGGAAGTACAGAACCCAGGATTGCATTTCCTAGAGTGTGAGTCTTAAAAATTAACCTTAACAGCTATCCCATGTTAAAAGAGTCCCATGGTCAAAATATTTGGAAAAGGTTGCATACTATATCACTCTCTCATGGAAATTTGTCTCTAACCTGCTTGTCAAACTATCTTGTTCTAGTAATAGCAAGCACATTCTTCCTATTTCTCAAACAAAAATCATTGTGATTTTCTCAAATTCTCATTTCCCTCATTCCAATGTCAAATACTGACAATCCCCATTTCTCAAAATCTATAAAAAAATTTGAGTGATTCTTTGATTTCTTTGATTTGAATCATGCTACTACCATGGTATAAGACACTTCATCATTCAATAGAATTATAATTAATTTGAATGATGAAATGTCTTAAGACCTCTTAACTGGTCTTCTTGCTTTTATCTTGTGATCTTTTAAGTTGTATAATTCCAGTCTTCCACTCCGAATCTTCCAGTGGTTTCCAATTTAACTCAGCATAATATCTAAAATGCTCACTGTGGCCTCTATTGCCCTATGTCATGTGTCCCTTTGCTGCATTGCTGACCCTTTGTTTTGTTCACTAGTCCCTATTTTGTTTCTCAGTCGTGTCAATAATATTGCTAATTCAAGGTCATGCCAAAAGTTTTTCTTTCCCCTTGGACTTCTGGCATGCAACCCACTTCTTGACTTTATTTAAGTCTCTGCTTGAATGCAATATGATTGGTTGGGGACACAATCAAACCTACAAAAAAAAAAATACTCCCTCAACATACGTCTTTGGTCAATTTACCTAAATTAGATATAATTTAAGTGTATTCCCCAGAGTTCATGTGTTCAAAGTTTGGTCCTCAGTGTGGTGATATTGAGCAGTGAGATATAAAAGGTGAGACATACTGGGAGGTCTTAGGTGCACTGAGGGTATGGCTTCAGACAAAATTTTGTTGGAGCTCAGCCTCTATGGCTTCCTGTTTGACATATGATGTCTTCTTCCCATGTACATTCCCACCACTGTGACGCCATTCACCATAAGATCCCCACTGGAGCTAAGCTAGTGGCTGGTACCATAACTTTGGGTTTCTAGACCCCATGAGCTTAATAAACCTCTTTTCTTTATAAAGTAACCCAACCTTAGGTACTTCATTCGAGCAATAAAAAATAAGCTATAAACACTACCCATTATATCTTTAGTGTCTCTATAAATATTTATAAGTTGCAACAGAAAGGCCTAATGGTAGTAGTTAAGTTGAAAGTATTAGAAAAGAAAAATCAATCATGTGTTACCAAGCGTAAACTCCCCAAATTACTTAATTTTTAATGTGCAGAAACAAAGACAATTCACTCAGAAATCTAGGGAAACTGGAGGGGAAAACTTTTTGAGTAGGATGAGATAGCTCAAAATTATCAGTCTTTTCAATCTCTTGGTTTTTACTTCTGATTCACTATTTAACAACTCTCTGACTTTGGTCACCTCACCGACTTAATGTCCTTGAGGCTTGTGTCCCTCATCGAGTAGCTCATCATCTTCCAGAGAAGCAGAGAGAATCCCCCTGAAGGAAAAGATGCGTCACCTAAATTTGGTAAGGCACCGTGACAGACAGGAGATGCAGAGGTTTCAAATATAAAGCAGCAAGTGGAAATTAAATTTGGGACTACTTACTTTTTTCTTAAAATCAGTGCTTATGAATTCAAACAGATGAGAAAAAAATAAGTTATAAAATAGTGGTGCATGCTTCTAATGTGTTTGGTGCCAAGGGAAATACACAAATATAATTTTATGTAGTTCAACATTTAAATTTAGTAGGGTATCTTTGACCCTGAGGGACTATTTATGAACCTACAAGGTGTTTCCTGGGCCTAAACCAACATTCTCTGGTATCTTTCCTAGTTCAAGTGCATATTAAACCCCTGGAATTTAGTTCCAAATCTTTGTGTTTTCTGGTACTAATTTTAATGAACACTAAGAGCTTGTATGCATCTAGCGTTTAAACATCACACTGTTTTTTATGGACTGAAAATTCAAAATTCTGAAGATACTAGTAGTACCAATGAATGCTTCTATCACCTTTGCTTTTTAACAGGAATATTTGCTTGCTCCTTTGTTTTTGCACACATAAAGTCGTCAGAAGGGTTACACCATTCAATTCTCAGACACAAAACTAAATTCAGAGCACTGCTGAGCCAAGGGCAGGAAGAAAGGTCAAAAACCAGGAACGATCCTAACCTCAACATTTCAAAAATGAATATTCTATGAGTGCACAGTATATTATTGGCTTTTTAGCAAAGAAAACATTCTAAAAAATAACTCAACTATTCTTAGATTTTTGTTCCCAATGGCTAGATCTTAAAATGCATTTTTTTTTGTAGCATAAAATGGGAATAATGATCAGAAAAGAGGCATTTTAAAAAACTTACAAACTCAAGTTCAAAGTCTCTAAGATCCAGAGGTCTCAGATTTATTTATGGTGTCATCCCACTCCTCTATTCCCTCCCTCCCTCCACATACAATAGGTATGTAACTACTGTTCACTCTACCTCACCTGGTAAAATTTAATTAAAATGAATGTCAGGCATTTTGCAAATGATAAAGCATTTTACAATTATACACTATTACTGTTCTCCTCTGCTGCAAACAGTTTCAGCATCATTACCAGGAGAAAGAGCACATTTGAGTTGAACTACTTAGGAAATGTATCATGAACAAAGGTCACAGAATCTTAGTGCTAAAAGGTAATTCAAATATCATGTTATCTAACTTTAAAATCCTTGAAGGAATTTCCTTCTATTGCATCCTTCACAAATGAGGTCCCTCATGCCCAGCTTAAAGAATTCCAGTGATGGGCAATTTGGTGGGTTTTGGTGGATTTTTTTTTAGGTAGTTTATTCTACTAATGGAAGAATAAATGTTCTCCTTATATTGATTTGAAGCCTTTTTCACAAATTTGACTATAATCAGACACATCACTAATAAACCTTCTACCCTCTTCTATTTGGCAGTGCTTCAAATGTATTATAAAAATTGTTACGGCTTACCTGTTGCATTTATTCAGCAATGCTATGGTCAAGCTCTAGGCTAAGTGCCAATAATTACAGCTGAATCATAGCAAATACCTATCCTCAAGTAAGATGAGAGTCACTATCCAGAACATAAAAATAAGAGGCAGAAATTAGTGTAGTCATTTCAAGCAGATGGAATTTAACACAGAAAGAATTGTTAATAAGAGTGGAAGGTCGGTCACAAGTGTTGGGATGTTGAGGTAACCAGTTATTGGCACCTACAAGAAACAACTCTTGTTCCCAGAACTGAAATATTGCGCTTACTAGTAGTCCCAGAATGCAGCGATCACCCGCAGGAAGAGGTGGAGTTGACTAAAGGGAGATGTACCATGCCACTTAGTCCTTGGGACTACCAAGAGAGGGATGGCTACCTAACTTGGAACTCGGAGGGGGGCAGGCACAATCGGAAATGAGGATGAAAACAAATGAACAAAAATGCCTAGAGACTTAAGCCATAGCCATCCTTGATGGTCCTGGATTGCCTGAGGAAGCTGGCAGACTTAAGAACAGGAGACACATCCTTCTCTCGCTCCTGCCTGTCATCATTGACTCCTACTTGCAGAAGTTAGTTAAAATAAAGGTTTACAGGATATCCTGGAACACAATGACAGAATCCTGGTCCCAGAATTACAGAATAAAGTATGCAACGGTAAGCTTTATGCCGAGATACTATAGGTGGATGAGTAGCAATATCTATACTTTGGACAAGTAGCACTTTGAAAAGTACTTGGCATCCATTTGAATTTTCCCACCTTTATTCAGACCTCCATACAGCAACTACATCATGCATCTTCCTAAAAAGATCAAAGAATCCTTAACAAAAGCCTTCTCGTTTACCTCCCCCCAAAAAAGGAAGCACACAATTCCAAGAATCACATACCTGTCTCTGGGTACTGTTATTACTCTTCTGATTCAGTCATACTCTCCGCTGAATACTCACTCTAGAAGCCAAAGACTAAATTTGTCACTAAAAGCAGCTCCTACATAAAAGAATTGGAGAAAGAGAAAAGGAAGGAACGTTGATTTAGTATATACGAAACCTCAAGAAGAAAATATGCTTAGCTGTTACTGGCCTTGATTCCATATTGGGTCCTGAGAACAGGGATATTTTCACCGTTTTTGTCTTTCCATCTATTTCTTGTCCCTTTGCCCTCAGCTGGTCGAGGTTCTATACCTATTAGAATGACACACACTTCATTTGAAAACAATATGAATTATCGGCAACACTGATTTTATTGTATCATTCAAGCTTTCCACTTAATTTTACTCTGGAGAAAAAGGAGAGTGAAAGGACAAAGATGCTTCCCTGTGATCTCCTGGGATCTAGTTATAACGCTCCTTACTATTTTGCTGCAATAACCCAGTCTTCCCTAATTAATAGGTTCAATAATGCCAGCCAGCAATTCAGTGGCATGAGAAATCCAAATATGGTCAGATGTCAATCTCAACTCTGAACTCAACAGAATTGAATTTTTGAGTCCCCTGATAGCAAGTTTTTCTCCACAGAAGACAAAGTCTAAATCATTAGACATGAAAGTTGCAGGTTTAAGAAGCCTAAGTTATTCAAATCACTTTTTCTCTGTAATATTGAGAGAATGCTTCTCTGAGTTTTTCATTATTTGATTTTCACATCCACTTATTTATTGCTTCCTGTCCAAAGAATATTCTATGTGATAATACCCCAACCTTGCCATGTTAACTGAATTTTCTATTAGTCAAACTATTGCTGGGTGAGCAGGTATATATTAACATCAATAAACTTCTTGGGAATTAATCTATTGCTATCATTTTTTTTTCCATTAAATGAGTTTCTTGGTCAGAAGCAATGTTGTGCAGAATACCATAATGGTGAATCTGAACTTCATTAAAACTACAGACAGTTGTATTGCGGAAGCACGGTTAGCATGCTAACAGGAAAAAAACATCTGTATTCAGAATCCGTGCTCATTCCTGTAAGGGTATGCTTCCTCTTGCATGGTGAAAGTTACCCAACCTGATACCAGTTGGCTGCCTCATTTCCTCAGAGAATGGTCCACATAAAGGGTTGAGTGTTATCTATTCTGTGGGCTGGTTAGGTACTTGGCAGTGACAGTATTTATGTCGGCCTTCATGAGAGGATATCTTTGTTGTTAAAAATATACATAAATTCATCCTTCTTACAAAAAAATTATTCGTATTTGAACCCACTGAGCAACACCAGGGATTACAGGAAGTGAGTTGGGGAGGCTCACTGATATCCACAGAAGGGATCACAAGTCTATAAAGGAACCATGATAGATTGGCCTATGTGGAAACTTCTAAAGGGCAAACACTCTGAACTGCATTTCATCCTCACTTGTTCTTAGTAACACAATTTTGCTACTTTGGTCTTGGTTTCCAGAACATGTGATTCCTATACAAGTTAGAAAGCTCATCCCCAAACCACCTTCTTCCTCTGTCATCCCCAGGCTACAGAGGAGAAGCCCTACACAGCCTTTCAGGCAGGCTGGCTCTCAACTGGTTCTTTTCCCAGTGATGTCATGAAGTATTCTCTTAGCCCTGTTAGGGAATTTATTCTGGGGGTGCGGAGACAAGTAGTAAGTAGATAAGAGGTTGTACATAATTATACCCCAATATTCTCTCACCTTTGGATTCCTCTTGCTGCATTATGTGTCTGTGTTGAGTATGAAGGTGAACCTACACACTCAGTTTTCCACCATCCTTACCGGACATTGCACTAGCCTAAATCAGGGGTTGGCAAATTGCAACCCATGGCCAAATACAGCCTATTACCTTTTTAAAGTCTTAATGGAACAGAGACATGCTCTTTTTTGTACATTTTACCCATGGCATCTTTTATATACCTATTGCAGAGTTGATTAGTTGTGAGGAGAGAAGACAGACTCAGCAATGTGTTCTAAAGAAGACCAGGATGCTCGGGCCTACTGCTTGGAAGACCTGGAACTAACTCCTGTCATATCAAGGGGTGATCAGACCCTGACAGCCTCATTTGTGAGTGCTGAAACATGCACAAGACAAGCTCACATCAGAATGCTAACTTACTGATTTACAGTGAGAAATTCCTGCCACACAGACCAGAAATATGTGTTGGCCATATGCTCAGCACATGCTCTCCTGCAGTCGAGCTGTAGGGAGAGCCAAAACCTAATCAGAAACCACTTCGTTGATTTTTCTAGGAAAAAATTATTGTCAAGCAGGACAAAACTACTCATAACTGTATGATTAGTGCTTTTAGCCTGTGGGTAAACTTGTATGGGTATTAGAAGGCTGTTGGTGAACATGGAAACAACACAGGAAATGAGAGGAACTGGAATTTAAGGCATCAGGCTTAGGTATCTGGATGCATGCATCATATCAAAATGGTGACTTTGTAAGTGGGGATAGAGATAGTTAAAAACCACTGCTGACAGCCCTACATTATCACTACCTTAAAGACTACCTTAGCAGTTTAGACCAGAGAATTGAAGACTTCTTTCTGTTTTTCCTTTTCCTGAGCCTCTTACAAATGATCAAACTTTATTGAAATTGTATCTCTGTAGGCATGTGGGTTATAGATCCCACATGACCTCCTACCACTTTGAGATGACTTTGCCTAACTCAGTTCCAGTGTATTGTGTCCTGGTGCACATAAAACTCATCCCATAATTATTTATTGATGATAATTTCCACATAAGTTACTGAGGGGGTTGAATAATACAACACTTAGTGTAGAGCGCTGATTGCAATGTTAAGCAGACAATAGGTGCTCAATAATGAAAAACAGTAATAATATACTGGAAGTGGCAGAATGGAATCATCAACTGTGCCACAATGTGATCTCTGCTGTTTTGAAAAAGTGGTATGAACAAAGCATTGCAGTACACAGGGACAAAATCGTCCCAGGACCTTCAACTGCTCAACATATGCAACAGCAAATCTTCACTGTCCCTGTCACTTTTCTCTGGCTGTATTCCAAAGCATAAATAGCAGACTTCATGTGGGGCCCAGAATTTAACACTGCAGGTTAGAATATAGTCCAGTGCCCTCTGAGTACAGTGTAAACATCACTTCTCTATTAGCTCAGAAGAAGCCAAGCTTCAGTTACTCAAACTGAGCTTGTGGTTCCCCAGCCCCTCTGGTTTTTGTAATGTCATTTGTTTCACACCAAGTTTCTCCTGTCCTGGTTTTGTACCATGGATTAAAAACAACAACAAATCTAAAACACTACATTTGGCTGAAATCGTTTTCTTTCTTCTGAACCATGGACACTTGCTGTTTTTCTTCTCATGTTACAGCTCCATATTCTGCATGTGAAATTAGAGCGCTGAAGGTCACAGCCATGTCTGGAAAAGTCAAGGAATGCTGTCAGTCTTCTGAAATTGCCCCATAACTGACTTCTTCCTTCTGTGCCTACCTGCTCATTAGTTTAGTTTTTTTAACTGATTTCTTATTTAACAAACGTATAGTTCTTACAAGTATCAGGCGTTGTTTGGAACAGTTTAAAAATATCACCTGGTTTTATCCTCCTAATAACCTCGTGAGGAGCAACCCTATTATTATCCTGCAAGCCTAAGGAAACCTGGCAATTCTCTCACAAACCTGCCTGTGGAAGTGAGATCCAGCAGTCTGGCTCCCGAGCACGTCCCACTGTTCTGCTCCTTGGCTTTAGTTTGGTTTCCCATTACCTTTAAACTCAGACAAAAGATCAGTTACTAATTTCTCTGTCCCCAGTCCTGTCTCTCCCTGTTTGAACTCATCACACGCATTTTAGGCAGAGCTACATTTCTAAAGTTGCAAAAGTACATATGACTTAAAAACCTGAGTCATCCCCCTAGAGAAATGATGTAAAGTCTTATTATAAGGATTGACCTGGAATAATTGGCAGAGAATACATGGCCTTTCACTACCTGCCTTCAATTTTCCTGTTTGGGCTTATCTACTGGTTTCCTGTTCATCCCTCAACAGACTCTCTCCAGCCATGATGGATGTTACAAGTTATTCCCTGAATTCATCCTAAATGTTTCAGTGTCTTCATTGCTCCCTCTAACAGAAACATCTTTGACAACGGCCTTGGCAACTGCTCGCCACATGTGTGCACACATGCCCATAACACTCACACCCTCACTCATGAAATTCTAATCATATATTAAAGCTTTGATCAAATACCTTTGATATCATCTACAGAATCACCCTACATACATTATGAATTAATCATGCCTTTACATTCTCATAGGGCTTTGTTTCTTCTGAAAAAAGAAAATAGCTTTTCAAATATTGCATCTCCTTTGTGATATATATTAGACAGCTTTCTGTCACTGTTGCAGAATACCTAAGATAATTAATTTAAAAAGAGGAAATGTTTATTTGGACTCACAGAAGAAATGTTTATTTGGGCTCACAGTTTTGAAGGTTTCAGTTTAGGGACAGTGGCCCTGTTGATTTTGGCCCTGGAGGAGGCAGGGAGAAGGTGGAAAAGCAAAGCTGCTTATGTCATGAGGATAGGGAAGCAAGAAGAGAAAGAGGTAGGTCTTAGGACCCAATATCCTTTTCAAGGAACTGCCTCCAAAGATCTAACCTCCTTCAACAAGGCTCCACTTGGTACAGGTTCCAGCACCCCCCCCCCATAGCACCACAGGCTAGGAACTAAGCTTTTAGCACATGAGGACAGAGAAGATCCAAACCATAATATGTACATATTTTCTTCTCCCACTAGATTGTAAAATTCTGGAGGTCCAAAGCTGAAACTTGTACATTGTTCCTTTCTTAGCATTTAGCATATTTGGTTCATTAAAATATTAAAACGTATCAAATTGAATTAAATGTTAGTAAATAATACTAACAAAATTTAAGTATAATATTATCCCAATATTTATAAATATATATATATCTGTAGGTATCTGAAGATGGTTTTGTATCAGATACACATTAAGATATTAAAAATGTCTGATCCAATAAGATAAGAAAGATTATAGGTTAGGGCAAATGACAGAAATACTCTTCT